TGGCTCTCTAACTGTGAAGATGGTCTGTGGGATTCATCTTCAGGGTTTTTTTTTTTTGTTTGTTTATTACCTGTTTGTGTGTATGTTTGTTTGTTTGTTTGTTTTTGTCAGTCTGTGCCAAAGCACAAACACAGACACGTTGTTCTTGTGCCACCTTTAAATCCTGTGATTTAAACTGATGAGTGGAGTTTAGAAGAGAAATCCACCAAGAATTGGAGGAATTTATTCTCTGATAGRATTTTAAATGATAATAATAAAAAGATGGAAAACAGAAACTCAAAGCCAGCTGAAAAATCTGAATGACTGGAGAGAAAATGTGAATTCTATTAATAATAATATTTAAAAAAAATGTGAATCGTTGCCATTTCTATAGGTTTCCAGCAACATTTTCTCCCCGGTCATTCAGGATTAATCTCAGCAATATTTAACGAATGTTCTGCTTTATTCGCACAGGGTCGTTTTGCTTATTTATTTGGATATTTGTAATTATAAAAAAATACACATTTTATTAAAACGAGGCCCATTTCTTAAACTGTATTTAGGGGAAATCTTTCAGCTGGGTTTGAGATTCTGATTTAAAAAAAAAAAAGAAAGAAAGAATAAAACCAAAAGAAAATCTTGTCGACCTGAAATCTGTGATCAAACAAAAGAGGGAAATGAAATCACCAATTGCACAATTTCTATCTGCTTTTTTGGTCATTAAATTGTATTTGTTTTCTACAACACTGCAGTCCTGCTCTTTATTGAGCTCCAGGGGGTAAAAAAAAAAAGCATACAAGCTGTTTCTTTGCATTTTAATGATTCATGTTGCTTATAGAAAAGACCTTCAGCTGTTGAAGGCAGGCAGCTAAATGAAATAAAAAATAAAACATATTTTATGATTTTCATCAAAATAAAATAATTAAAATATATTTTGCATGGAGAGATGTAATTTTAACAACTTAAAAAAATGTGTTTTTAAATTGTTTACAGCATACAGACGGTTCAGGTATAAACATCAGTCATCAGCAGAACCAGAACCGAGTTTCTTTGTTTTTTATCCGTGGATCCAATCTGCTGCATATGATGCAAAATTACTGAAATTACTTTATGGGTGAAAAAAATAGGTTAAAACCTCTGAACAGGTGTSAGTATCAGTCACTATAATATTAGGCTACTGAGAGAAAAAAAATCTAAATATTTTCTTTTTCTCGTAGCTGAAATGTTTCAAATGTAGCTTAATATCAACATGAGGTGAGATGTATCATTTCTCTCAAGTTTTGTTATTTTTTTAATTTATTGTGTATTTACAAGCTTTTAAAAATGTGTGTGTTGCAGCAGAACACGTCAAACCTTCAGTGTGTGTTTTTTTTTTTTTTACAAAAACAGAAACTGCGCGCTGCCGCCCTCTAGTGGTCATATTTGATTTAGACCTGAATGTTAGGTTTGTTTATTTTTATTTGCTTAATTTTTTTTAGCTAACGTCATACTTTGCTAACATTTTTATGCATTTGGAAAAAATGCTTTCCGTTATTTTTTTCCTGACACTGACTCTGATCTTACTTTATTCGCCCTTCAAAATAAGATTTCATTTTATTTTGGATATCTTCCAAGACAAGGTCTGCATTTTCTTCAGTTCTTTCAGGACTTTTATTTTGAAGATACAGAATATAAAATAATGGTCAAATATATCAAATTTAACATAAAAAAGATAGTTTTAAGAATTAATGTAAATTCTCAATAATCAAGTAAATTTTCAATAATCAAGTAATCTCAGAGTTTACTTAATTTTGAGATGTTGTTTGGTTGAATATTTCTATTCAGTCTATTTTTCTACATTTAACAGTTTTTTTCTGATGAATGACATCATTATATGTTATTAAGATTAAAAACAAAACCTCAGTGAATTTWAAAAAATGCTTTGTTCGCAGAAAATTTTGTCTTCTAACATTTTTGCGAACTGTGTAAAAGTTTTATGTTTCGGAACTACATCACTCCCTTTAATTCTTTTCAATCTCAGACGTGTTAAATAAAGAGCATTATGAGGAAAAAAAAGAAAGAAAGAAAAAGAATGAAGAATAAATATTGTTGGGTTTTGTCTGTTTGGGGGGTCTGAACTCGTCTCTCTGGAGGACCCCACTGACTGAGTTCTGTCTTATCAGTGCACGACCATCTGCCCTCCTCCTGAACACACCTTCTGCATTATTCATATTTACACACACACACACACACACACACACACACACACACACACACACACACACACACACACACACACACACACA